GTTAGAACTCAATGATTATCTTAATTATATTTTAGATTTTTTAATATTTAAAATGAGTTGTTTATCCTGTATTTGATTATATTTATCTGCAATTAGTTACACRAATTCAGATATGTAGCTTTAATAAGTTGTACTTACACACAATCTACTTGTAATCTTGAGTTTCAAGTAATATGCATTAATAAACAGTACTTTACGTATAAAAAATGGTTTTTAAGAGTTTTTGTCAAATGCTTTATAATATAGTATAGATTATAGATTAAAACAAAATGATATAACTATTTAATTTGGATAATTACATCAAATCACAATCGAATTCCATATCAATTTAAGTAAAAAATTAACTTTTAGTGCAATTTCCGGTTTTTTAAGGTTAATATCCAATTTTATCAATTTCATAATTTTAATAAATGGTTAAATTATGATGAATTTTATTTGGTTTTAATTTTTTTTTTCTTAATTCGATTTGATATCAACAATGAAAATATAACAAAAACATTATAAAGATTTAATCATTAACTGTATTTAACTTTTAATATAATCTCAAAATACTCATATATAAAGAAGAAATACAAAAAGAAACTTGGATTGAAGTATACAAAAACAAGTCATTCAATAGAGTCGGGCAACGAACAGAACAACCGTTTAACGATGGTGGACGATAAATACTAGAGTTTACATGTTGGTATCGTGTTATAGAATAACTGAGAGAAAACAACAATACAACATACATAAGGAATATGTAATTCTCATTAATTATAAACCCTTTAATAGAGATAAGTTATAAGTAGATAACTACGAGATATTTCAGTTCTAATCTAATTCTTGTATCTTTATCTCTATCTTTATTGTCATATTCCTTAAAAAAAATTGTTTTATTTGATATAAAATGAGTTCATTCCCTGAAGCCCAAATTTTCATTTCAAGTTAAACAAAAAGACGAAAAATTTCCATTTTCATTCCAACTCGCTTTGCGAGCCGACTAATCACAGGGCGACCATCTGCTTTGCAGATAGCTCGAAGTCACCGCATTTGAGCATCCATGGCCACAAGGGGATTTTTATTCCTCTTTGGATTTGAACTTAAAACCTCCTGATACTTTTGACCTTTAAAGTCAAGCTCAAACCAATCAGACACCACCCGTGTGGTTCTTTTAACTCTTTTTTTAAAACAATAAATTTAAAAAAGTTTTTTTTTTCACTCTAAAAGAAAATATCAAAAGTTAAAGTAAAATGATTAAAATTGTAGAAAGAATGCTAATATATAAGATGATTGTTTTACAACAATGTAACAAGTATGATGATTCAAAGTCACATTTACTCCCATGTATAATCCAAAAAACATAGAACCAAATGTCAAAGGGATTAGCAAAATCACTCCTCTCCCACTAGCACTTGACCATTTTCCAGTTGCTCCTGAAAATAGGGCTAACTGCAAAAATGATAGTTTAAAAGTGGCATCGACAACCCGAATGCGGAAATAACATGCCCTGAGGAGTGACAAGCTCCGTTTCAAATAACGAGTACACCCAAGATATTATATTTCCGAAAAGGCGTAGAAGAAAGAGCTAACAAAATGTAAACGTTCTTGAGTTGATCATTTTGCGTCATTGGCCGAGCTTTAAGTGAATTGCATGAACATAATAATACTTAGGGCTCTGGATTTGAATCACTTGACCTCGAAACCAAGCAAAGAGCATGTGAGGCGCCGATGGCCACCGAAAGAACCTTGTGGGAACCCAAACCATCATCGTCCATAAGGAATTTAACCTCGATTGGAAAAGGTTGTATCTCGGGCACACCAGGAACCCCTAATTGACCATCTTTTGCATTTCCCCACATGTACAACTGACCTTTATCTGTATATGCCAAGAAATATGATGCTGGTCACTTTACACGCAGCAAAATCAATCTTTAGATTTTGGAGACCAAATAGACAGAATAAACAAGTTGGCAGAATTTACAGCTAATCTTCATTTCATCAACCATAACCTTCTTTTTATACCATTGTGCTTGGCTTTTTATTGCAAACTAGCCCTCGTTCTTCCCCCAAGATACAATAAAAAAGCAATCTGATTTGCAATAAATGCAAAATGGATCAAAATGCAACAAAGTTTGGGTTGGTTCCTATTTAGTTTAACGAAGAACCTTTTTACTGAATCGATGTAATAAAGTTTCAGAATTGCATATTTGACCAGCAACTAGATGCTCTTGTAACATTTGATGATGTAGATACCTATTTACCAGAAGTTTACGGAAGGTTACAGTGAAGTGAATGATAAGCTTGATCCACATCATGAAATGTGACAAAATCAGCAGGTTACTGGTCAAAATGATTACAAAATAGAAAATTTTGGAACTTTGTTAACAGTCATTAAGAAAAAGATTATCTGTTACACTATGTAGCAAGTAGCAACTAAGGCAAACTTCGTTGTAGTTTGATGCATTTTCCCCATTTGCAATAATAAGTAATTTGACAAACAATGGAAGTATGAATCCAAAAAACCATCATACTCGGCACCTTCTGTCCAATTAGCTCATCTTTGCGAAGTCTAGTGGTTTTTCCCATTTCTCGAGAACAATGATTTTTTGCAACAAAAAAGTCAATTGCTATGGTTCCAGAAGCCAACTAACTCTAATCTTATCTGGTGATAAACCATTCACCATATCCTCTAAGAGTTTCAATCAATATTAAGGTGACTACTGTCTTTTAGAACTTTGGTTTGTTGTTTTGCTGTTTTTGTATCATTTGCTATGTTAATTATTAAACTAAATTAAATGCTGGTATAGACTGCCACCTTGATCTAAAACTTCCAAAGTTATTAGTTAAGCAATTGACAAACTTCTATGTTATATCTATTTCCCAAGGACAGTGAAATGTGGTAGAGGATGCAGCATAGTTTACCAGTTACAGCAGCGGATGAAGAACCTCCACAAGCAATATAGACAATTTTCTCAGAAGCTAGAGACTCGATAACCAATGGAACAGGTTGATTTTGAGTAGTAAAGTGCCCCAACTGTCCATGTCCACCATAGCCCCAAGAAAGTACTCGGCCTTCATCTTTCAAAGAAAACAGAAATAATATCAGTGTTATACAACGGAAGTTGCAATTCTGTTATAGATAAAAATTGGATAACTTTGCATTTCTCATACCAGTTAAAGCAAGAGAGTGATATCCACCACTTGCTATTTGAACAATATGAACACCATCCAGACCAGGAATAGGTTGAGGCTTCCAACCACCCACTCTATTACCTCTTCCAAGCTCATTGTTTGAATTTGCTGCATAAAAAACACCAGCCAGAGGGTTGAAGTATGATATCATTCTAGTTGGCATGCAAACAAGACCATATGGTTAAACTGACTCCTAAAGGTGAATTTTAATTTTTAAAGTTGAAAATTACTAATCTTACAAATGGCAACAGTTAAAAGAAAAGAACAAAAATAACAATGACATGTCCAAAGTCTGATAATTCCCAAACCCACGAAACTTTTAAAGTTTGGTAAAATTGCAATTAATGTAAATGAGGGGTTCTCTTCTTTACAAATGAATGTGATGCATAACATGGTAATATTTAACACTTTTACTCATTTAGTAACTTTCTTTTTTAGCAAAGAAATTATTTTTGTAAATAAAGCAAATTTACAAAAAGCAAGACCAAATCGGAAGTTGATGGTAGCCACATGAAATTGTAAGTGTTCTAAGAGATGGATGCCCTACAGAGAAAAAAAGACGGCGGTTCTAAAATGGTTATGTATGGTAAACTTATGTTGTATTGACTCCCTACCTTGGTTCAAGCCTCGCTTGGTTGCTAAAGGGTACTCTCAGGCTTATGTTATTTTCTACGAAGAGACCGTCTATCATGTGGCTAAGATGTCTTCTGTTCGCATCTATATGGCTCTAGCTGCTTTTCATCACTAGCCTCTACATAAATGGATATCAAGAATGCTTTCTCAATGGTGTTCTTGAGGAGATGGTATATATAGATTAGCTTCCTGTACTTGATGTCTATTGGGGGGCTTCCAAAGTTTGCCACCTATGCCATTTGTTATATAAGCTAAAGCAATTGCCCTAGCTTGGACGACTCTATGAGGTTCTTAATTCAGAGTGATCACAATTATTCAGTATTATTATGCCACTGACAAGCTAGACGAATTACTCTTGTTGTATCTATATTAACAAGCGCAAGGCTTTTAGTGGGGATCATTTCTAGGTTATTGACTTGGGGCATCTCTGCTATTTCCTGCAAATTAAGGCATCTAGTCTATACCAATGAATATTCTTATCTCAAAGGACGTATGTCCTAGACGTCATTCCAAGATGCAGGTTGCTTTCCTACTGGGAAAACTTCTTCTAGAACATATGTAGAGGCCTTTAGATACCTCAAGATAACCCATTCTTCCTAACTGGTCTCCTGTATCTTTGGGATATCTAAAGGCTTTACTGAGTATGAAATATCTAGGTTGGATAGCTCATTCTCTTGAGGTATCTAAAGGCCTCTCGAGAATTAGCCAAGTAACCAACGCCATTTTCATATTAATGTCTCCACTGAGGAAGGTGTCGGGTAGATAAATGGATTCTCTAAAGGGGTAGCATGTCCCTTATCTGGGAGATATACTACAAGGTATTGTGTGCTTGTAAGCGGTAATCTTGTTTGATGGAAGAATAAAAAACGATACACAATTTTTACGTTCCAGTAGAGTTAAGAGTCCTGAGTCATGGATGGGTGTCACCGGTTTCTCCGTGAGCTTCATGCTCTTGCACATTACCTACAGACGCTCTGTTCTGAGAGTAAGTCACCTATCCACACAGCTATGAATCAAGACTTCCATGAGAGAACAGAACACAAAGGTTGTCTGTCACCGTGTCAAAGATAATAATGTTGGGACTTCAACAGATCCTCCACCTATAAATCCCATACTCAGGCCCTGTTTGCTAGCAGCTTAATGAGCTTAATGGGACTCGCAACTTATTTGGTTAGCTATAGATGACTGTTTGGTAGTGGCTTAATAATATAGAAAGTGGCTTATTTAGTAAGCTTCCAGAGGGGAGCTTTATGCATAAAGCCAAGTTTTTTCAAAACCTGTCCCTCCCAAATAAAAACACATGCTCCTTCCATTTATGAAGAAACTCTCCCAAACAAAAATCTAAGCAGATCTATACAGACAGACTAATCCACACAGACAGCTTTATCCATACAAGATTTAATGGATAACCAACCAAACAGCCCCTTGGTTGATATTTAACTAAACTTCTGTGAGAAGATCGACAATATCTGTAGCATGTCGAGCATGATTAATATTTTTACCCCAACTTGAAGAATGTTAGTTATATTAGCCGCCAATTAGGGTCCATTGAGTATAATCTGTATGGAGTGAGATTAAGGGATTAGTTTACTTGTACAGATGCTCATTTTTCATCAATGAAAAAGACACTTTACAACCCTAATTGTTTCAACATCCATTAGATAGATATGCAGAAAGCATTGCCAATTTCTTACCACCCCAATTCCACAATTGGCCATCATTGGTAATCACTGTTGTGAAAAACCCACCACATGCAACTGAAACCACAGGCACGGGTAATGCTTTTACTTTGGAAGGTATGCTAAGTCCACCAGCTTCATTTGGACCACGACTAGGACCAAGGCCAAGTCTGCCTTCCCCTTCATCTCGTCCCCAAGTATAAAGCTGACCTACATTGAACGCGTAAACAAGATAAAATATTATCGCAAACAAGTTGAGTCAATTAGGTTATCATATATCCCCTAATGTGATGAAAGACTCATAACCTTTAAAGGATTTCAAAAAAAAAATAGCAAAAGCAAAAATAACAACTTTCATGTTACAACTTTTTAACTTTTTGAGGGTGCATCTTGCCAAATAATTAGTGTGTTTATTGACACATTTTCATCATGAGTCAAGAGCCAATTTACATGCCAAATTGTGTTTCAAAAATTGCATCAATGGAAGGTCATATGTTTAATTGTGAAGTGCATGAGTAGAAAACTGGAGTCTAATCAGTGGAATAATTTGTACATTGTTGAAGGAAATCTACTTGAACATGCACACACACCCACCCACCCAAATCCCAATGACACAACTTTAAGTTAAAATTTTCCCTTATGGCTCCAATTATAACATGCACACAATCGTATTGAGACGAAAATGGCCAAAAATTCCAAGGCAAAAAACAGGTTGCATCATGCAAGCACCAATGCCACCTAACCAGAAATTCATGTTATAGAATACAGTAACGCAACGCATCCATGAAAACAAAAAAAAAAACTTGTCCATGCTAATTCTTTACCAACCTTTAGACACTATCAATGATTGAATAAATAAAGTAAAATAATGGAATAGGTTAGAAACAAAGAAAGATTATAATAACAATAACAAACCACACATATGAATATGTAAACACAAACTTCATATGATTCTTACTAACCGAGGAAGCTCAAGCCAATATCAGAAACTATTTGTTCATACAATATGTCAGAAAAAGAAACCACACCTGCTTCAGTGATAGCAGCAGTATGTGTGCCACTAGTTGCAATTTGAGTAATCCGTCCCTCCCAACTGCCTTCTACTTTTTTTGGAGAGAGTTCTCTAGTATAAACAGAATGGCCAAGAGCACCAAACCCACCATAACCCCTGTAAACTTCATTATAAATAGCAAAAAGAACATCAATTTTGATGGAAACGGTAACATACTAAATTCATATGAGAAAATGCTCTTGCACAAAGGATGACACCTGTCATATCTCCAAACCACGAAAAAAAAATGATACAATTTTCTTAGCCACTACAAAATCCAACAAAAATAAATAATCTCCAAGTAAATTAGATATTGTTTTCAGCAAGATTAAAATGGAAGTCATGTCCTATAAATGACATTTTGGCCCTACATAGAGAATTGGTTTCACTATCAGTATTGACTTTTGGTAATAGAATTTAGGGCAAATCTAGCAAGTTAGAATTCATGAATAGTGACTTGATACAATTACAAGCTTAGAAGTATAGCTGGTGCATTATGGTTGCACCAAAGCACACTGCAGCGTATTCGCACCCGGTGAGACATTATGGTTCAACAGACGTTAGCCTAAAATCTTTACCCTTTATGACCATCATATGTTTTATTTATTGTGGGATCATGCTTTTTGTGCATCTATCTCAAAAGATGGGACAATACTGTCATTGGTGCGCCTTAAAATTTTTCAGGAGGTCAAAAGTCATGTACCTTTTACTTTTTCGTACATGTTTTGATGTATTCTGAAGCTACTAAATTTTGGGTGACAAATTCAAAAGTAGAGTAAATATTTTTTTCTTCTATTCAATCTTATCTTGAGTCAGTGGCTTGAACGAACAATGAAGAAGGTATATTAAATTTTGTTATAAATGCCGTGACTAATTGCAATTAATTGTTAAACATATGGTTATCGATTGTAATGATATGGTTCTGACTGAGAAACTAATTTGATGTTACTTGAAAGATTTATAATTGAATTAAGTTGTTGTTCAAATATCAACTGGAACAAAGTAATATTCTGTCACAGAAATGGAGTCCTTTACACCAAAATCTAAGCCATGCACGATGTTTTTCAGGTCAAAATCTTAACCTAGACAAGACAAATAGTACAATTGTCTAAAATCTAACAATGTTATATTCAAGTTTGTGTAACATCTAATAAGATCATGTGATGCAATTGAGAGCAAGATTTTGAAGTATGGTGGTTGCAGCAGAAGTTGCAATAATGATCAAGGTTAAAGACTTCACATGTGAAGATTACTATTATTTTACTATTGGTCACCTTAAAGATTACACATAGCTAAAGAATCTGCTAATGCAATATTCTTGACATTCATGATTTTAGTCTGGCTGCATTACATATGTGTTCATATACCATCAAGAAGTAGATTTATATTATTTTCTGAATTGCAGCAGCTTTTTAGACGGGAACCTATTATCTATAAATTCACTCTTACATATAATGTTCTGTTGGTATACACACGGTCTTAAATTATTTTTCATGGTTCGTTTGCGAAAATCAGCCGACTTTCATCTTGTATAATGGAAGGTTTTCTTGACCTTAGGTAGATATTGTCTTCTAGAGGTCTTTTGTGGTGACAACGGAGCTAAGTAGTGGCCTAGTAAAAATATCACTCTTCACACAATTACACTACAAACATGTTCACATATACATGAATGTTCTCCACCCAAATAAAAATCAAGCAAATGTTAAATAATCAAACGCCCCCAATTCTATAACGGCTTCTTGCTTCTGGTACTTTTGTACCCATTTTTTCTCGTCCAACCATTAAGTCTGGCTCGCTACCCTTTCTTTTGCTTTAAAGCTACTAATGTAGTAATGTTGTTTATCCTTTTGCTCATTTTCTCCACTTTGTCCTAACTGCATGCGACTATAGTTTTATGAATTGATTGCATACAACACTTTGGATTCGTCCTACATGTAAATAGGAGTGTTTAGGGTATGGAGGCATGTTTATGTGTGGTGGATCCAGGTCTGGAGCTAACATTTATTGTATGATTATACAAAAAAATTGTGCGAGAATTATCAGGTTTTATTATGTGAGCAAATAAAAGAGATGATTTCATGATCTAGAATTTTGATAGTTTTCAAGAGAATAAATAGTCTGGTGTGATGTTATATGGAGCCGTCGCCACATTATTGTTATTATTCTTGTGAATACATAGTACACATATGTAGTTGGATTTAAAATATATTCTCCCGGTTATGTGTCAAGAAGTCTCTTATTTACTTCTTGTTACTTGTTTGTGAAAACGATTTTATCATAATCTATACTGTTAAGATAGCATCAGGTTAGAATTTGCTCATATATAGAGGGTCTTAGTTCTCCGCTCGTCTCTTTGATTACTTTGATCGAGACACAAGTAAGGATAAGATAGTTCTTCTCTCGTCCTTTTGATTACTTGACTCTAAGGATAATATAGTTCTTTGCTCGTCTATTTGATTACTTTTGACAGGATAGTGGTCCAGATGGAGGAAGAGGTAGAGGGATGTCAAAGGGTCAAACAAGAAAGAATTTTCCACCATCACATAATGGCATAGGAAAGAAGGGTCTAGATGATATTTAATTACTTCACACTGATACTTTAAAAAGGGAGGTAGATATAATCCGGATGGATTGTAGATATCGTTAAATCTCACCCTCTCATATAACAGTAAATTCATTGATAAATACGAGAGTGATACCTTCTCCACTTGCACATATTCTGCTGTTGAACATCCTTTCTTGTTTAACCATTTGACCCTCTACCTATTCCTTTATCTGGACCACTATCCTGTCCAAAGTAATCAAAGAGACGAGCAGAGAACTATCTTATCCTTAGTGTCAAGTGATCAAAAAGACGAGCGGAAAACTATCTTATCCTTTGTGTCTTGATACTAAGTAGAAACACAAATATACTTATACTTTCTTGTCTTGGTCAAAGTAACCAAAAAGATGAGCGGAGAACTAAGGCACTCTATATATAAGCAGTTCTACAGAGAAGTAACTAAGAGGCTTTTTCACACATAAATGGGAGAACATATTTTGGGTCCAAGTACACATACGTACATGGGTGTATGCACAAGAATAATAAGAATGATGTGGGACGGCTCCACGGGAGTAGTTTGTTCTCTTCAAAACTGCCAAAATTCTAGAGCATGAAATCCTATCTTTTGTTTGCTCATGTACTAAAGTCTATTAATTCTCGCACAAATTTGTGTATAATCATACCATAAACAATAGCGCTGAACTCAAATCAACTACACATAAACATTCACCCATACCCTAAAAGCTCTCATTTACATGGAGGAATCCATCAATTAATCCAAAATCTTATATGCAATTGTGGAAAATCTGCTTTGTTGTTATCTCTAAGATACGTTTAGGCTTATTTTTTGGGAGTTTCTTAGGAGGATAATGCTGGTCTTTTTCCCTTAGATAAAGGGATGGTAGTTTCAGTCTTACAACTATAAATATTGTGCTTCTCTGTGGTTCGAGATATAATAAAAAGGGAGATAAATTATTCCTTTCTCTTATTCATAACTTCTACATGGTATCAAAGCTCTGATTGATCTCTCCATCCTCAAGCCATCTACAATCAGTGACTAAATACATTAAGACAACCATGGTGAGCGAAACCAAGAGTGGCACTTCAGGTACAACCCATAACCAATACTCTATGTCCAAAACAAGACCCATCCTCTTTGAAAAATGGGATTATTCCAATCACCGGTCACAAACTCATTGGCCACACGGTCGCACTCTATGATGATCTTTATAAGCGGTAAAGGGAAAGAAGACTATCTAACAGGAGCAGCAATAGCGCCGACGAGGATAGTCAGAATTATCGGACATGGAAGACAGAGAACATGGTAATGTCATGGCTATTGAACTAAATGACGAACGAAACTGGTGATAATTTCATGTGCTACAAGACAGCCAAGGAGATATAGGAGGCAGCCCGAGACACATAATCCAACAAAGACAATGCCTCGGCAATCTTTGAAATCAAAGGAGAATTACATGATCTTCGCCAAGATGAACGGACCATCACAGGATATTTCAATGTATTAGCCCGCTACTGGCAACAATTAGATGTCCTGGATGATGTATCTTGGAGTTGTGCAGGTGACCGAAAACATTATAGAGAGATCCAAGGAAAAGAACGGGTATACAAGTTCTTACTTGGGTTAAACCAAAACCTTAATGAGGTTCGAGGAAGAATTCTGAATTGTAAGCTATTACCAAGCATTGTTTGAAAAAACGTAAAAGGCGTGCGCCTCAAAACGCGCCTTGAGGCGAGAATTTCGTTTGGGAGGCGGTGCCTCCTTCTCCTCTGATGGGGTATACGTGTTAAATGTGTAAGACGGTGGTCAAAGGGTGAGACAGTGATATGAATCATGGGCGCACTCTCTGTTAAATAGAGTCATGTGGATCTATTTTTTTTATTTAAGTACAAAGTGGTGTCCAACTGTCCATAAGTTAAACATCAGCAGCACTGATTTTTAAGTGCTTTATTCCTTCTCATCTCAAACAATCATAAACATACATGTACATAATTTTTTTCTTCTCCACTCAGTCCTGGAATACAATAGTTATATATATATATATATACTTTTTTTTCTTTTCCCAATTAGTGTTAGAATCAAACAGTATGGACTTGTAACATATATACTATCCAGTGTATATTAGTATTATATACATATGTTCTAAATTTATTTCTGTTTCCTGCTTCGTGAACATACATATATTCTGAATTATTTCAAACTTATATATATAGATAGATATGCTGTTTTATGTACATATCTGTTTATACATATATCGTACAATCTGTTTATATATATATATTCTGTATAAGCTGTTCTCTATATATTTATATATTATAATTATAATATATAAATATATATTTTGATTTATGTACATATTTTTGACTTATAACAAGTAGTTTTATTGAATTATGGGCTTTATAGTTTACTTATTTGGCATGGAACTATAAAATTATGTTTTTTTACAAGTGTTAGGATTTATGAATTTTATTCTTTTAATTTTTGGGGCTTACGCCTTGACCGCCTCGAGGCGCGTTTTCATTCTTTAAAACCTTGGTTACAAGCTCTTAAGTTAAG